TTAAAACTATCACGAAAATTGTTTTTCATTAGCATACTAAAATTGAGAAAATTATTTCTCCATTATAATCGTCAACTGATGAAAATTTAAATTCATAACATCGCTACGAGATAATTTGCAGATACTTTTAATGGGATCCATCCAGAAACTATATTATCAACAGTGCGAGTTGTTGCGAGAAATTATCAAACGTTTAAAATGTGATTGGGATTTGAAACACTCGGTTTAAATGACACATTTTTAGGATTGTATATTGTGAAAAAAAAATAATATTAAAAATACATTTTAAAGTTTCTTCTTGATATGTGCAGTGTTGAATATTAATTTATGAATGGCACCTACACGTATAGGTAACTCAGAAGTCAGAATCCAAGGAAGTGTCAGACTCCAACATGAACTGTATTTTTACGTAGAATATATCATATTTATTAGACACATGAGTGTAAAAAATTGAACAAGCGTTATTATTAAGTTTACCGTGATATCAATATATTATGTACTTACATTTTGTTGATTAAAAAATATATTACAATTTCGTTTCAATCAAAATGTCTGATAGTGAGGATGAGCAATGAACACTCAGTATACCTACACACGTATATACCTAGAAATGCATATGATACCTATGTACATAATTATACCTGGAACCGTTATATTATTTTATTCGTATTGGTTACAGTTATCGTTCTAATATAGGATAATATAGACATTTTTCTCGGTCGTTTTCGGACACTCGTACACGCTCCGTGGTTTTGGCGAGCACGCTGAACAGTATCGACCCGTGTCTATGGCTTATACATGTATAGTGTATACATATGTGGATATAGGTTAGGTGTGTGCGTATATTGGAACCAGACAATATTTTGCCGCGTCCAGGCCAATGGCTCGACTATAATGGGATATAGCGCATTATGCGCTCGTCAAAATGACGCGAAAAACACTTGAAATCCGTTCGTCGTATTATACTTATATGGTTGTCGAGAGATCAAAAACTTTGTTTCGTGACGCAAAGCAGCGAAATAGATAATTGTATTTCACGTACCGTTCGTTTCGTTCCACAAGTTTTTAGCATATAATATTTTTGTAAAATAATATATTTTAACGACATCATCATATTTTGAACCAGATATAATCGTATTATATTATATAATGTCGAGATGGTTCTAATGGCTGAGATTACCGAAGAAAACATATTATTTTCTATAACCTAACCTATTTCCCTATTGTGTAAAAACAAAGTTGTATAATAAAATATCTGTATCCATCTCTCGTCAAGTTAATCGGATTAATTTTCAATTTATTTTAAAGTCATTTTAATAATAATTACTAATGATATTTTTTTTATTAAATCTCTCAATAAATACATTTAAAATAAAAAAATTCTTATGTGCCTATAATATACAAATACCTATGTAATATTATTCTTAATTTAATGGAAAAAAAATCAGTTAATTAATAGCACGTAACGTAAGGAAAATTTGCCATCCCTACCATAGGATATATATAATACGTAATAATAATTAATGATAATTATAATAGTATTTTATACTTTAATCGATTTTTTACTTGATTTATTTCGAAAAATTATTTCCATCATTGGCAACCACAATTATACCATAAAATATTCGGTACATTATTATTACAGTACTTTTTTCATTTTATTTCGTCTGTTTTCAGTACCTAATTTTGTATAAATTCCACAAAATTCTAGTCCTAATTATAATGTTCAATTATGGTACATAATTTATTTACAAATATTTTATGTCATAATTTGTGAACGACAAACCGCCCGTCTGACTGGACAAAATAAACTACACACACGACACTGTTCCATTAGCTAGTTGTTGAATGGCAAAGGTAAATTAACAGGAATTAGTTTTATATGTTATACAACTTAAATGAATTACTGCATATTATACATCATTTTTTTTTTTTAATCAATATTGTTTTTAACGACTCTTTGTTTCCCAACAATAGTATAATTTTTCACCTATAATAATTGCAATAATAGTTGAGGATATTTAATTTTGAGATTATATTTTTTTTCTAACTTAAAACTATTAAAATAGCTAAAAACAAAATATTAACTAATAGTTACAAGTTTAAAACTAGAAAATCATTATAATTATATAAATTTCAATCTCCTTTCGTCTCTACGACGGACTTAAAAGTGTGCCTTGAGTAATATCTTTTATTTTTAACCTAACAAAAATATTTTATAACTCGAATAAAAGTATACAGCTATTTATAATACGTAATACGTCCTAATTAAAATTTTTTTTTTTGATTTTTTGTACTTACAACTCTAACAGTCCAAATCAACTTGCATAATATGTTTGACAATGTATGTATAATGTTTATATTTTCTGCGAGGTTTAACGATGGAATTGTATATTCACATAAGTAATGTACAGGGTGTACCAAAATGATTCATCCGATTTCAAAAACTCATATTTATTTTAAAATTTGATTAATCATGTTAGAATTAATTTTACATTTTAATGGATTATTTTAAGTTTTAGGTACAATGCTTAWACATTTTCAATGTGACCCCCCTTACTTGCACGACACACATCTAAGCGATATTCAAATTCCTCATAAACCTGTTGAAGCATGTCGACAGTAACCAAGTTGATGGCGTCTGTAATGCGACTTTTCAATTCGYCAAGATCTTTTGGGAGGGGAGGAACATAAACAATGCTTTTTATGTAACYCCAGAGAAAAAAATCACAGATTGTAAGATCCGGCGAACGTGGACAAAATGTAGCGTCATTAGCACTACAGYGACCGATCCATTGCTGTGGGTAGCTGGTGCTTCGTTTCCAAGTACACTAACCATTACGGTGCCAAATTTATCAACTAGATAACTTAAAATAAACTTAGTTATCTAATCTTTCCATTAATAMATTGGTCATTAACCTGCGATTAACCGTTGCCGAACTATATCAGTTCGTAATCGGATGAATCATTTTGAAACACCCATTATATTATGCGTCTAAGCCCAAACATCAGTTTGTCAGTCGTCAATCCGTACTATGTTGTATTTGAAACACTAAAAGTCATTATCGTCCAAAGTTCACCTATCCTAACTAAAAGGAAATAAATCTACAAAATTTGTTTTAATATTTTTTAGGATATTTACGAACGTGGAGGTAGATCTTCACGCGTTTTTAAAAATATCCAGAACAGAATCTGGTTATAATTTGAAAGAAAAACATTCTTCAAATCTGATAACAGCTTGGACACTGACAATGTACATTCATTGTGGTCATTTTAACTAATTAAATTATCTATTCTATAAACTTTAAATTATATTCAAATTTCATTAGTTGAACTCGTCAATTAGTTTACGAAATCTAGTTTAGTGCGTTTATGTATAGTCGTCAAATAGTTAAGTAATAGTAATTAAAAGCCACGGTTTGGTATCTGATTGAACCATCAAAATTTCGAAAAAAAAACAATCACTCTTAGGTACGTATCACGATGATTGGGATTTTAATTTATGAAATCCATTTGTATAATGTTAGCCTAATTTTTGTATACATTCAAAAACGAACTTTATGAAAAAAAAAACCTATTAGCTCAGTTGTAGGTATCAAATACACATATTTTTATCATTTTTCGTAAATAATATTATTAAAATAGTATAATATATTGTGAAAATCATTTACAGTATAATCAGTACACCCTGCAGGATTTGCGTTCGTATTCGTATGTATGTGCACAAACAATACTTACCTAAACGCATAAATATACTTATCTGTGAAAATCTTGTATACAGACCACTGGCACGCATAAAAATGAAATGTGTTTCATGTTTGAAGAAAATTTAATAAAATACACCGAGCGTACATGTATAAATAACGGTTAGATTTAAAACATTATTATCAACAGTCTGCGTTTCATGTAAAACGAAATAATTTAACAGTGAGATAATGGAAGCGGATGTTTTACTTTACTTTTTATTTCTATGTTATTATAATTACTATCACAACAATAAGGTATAAAACTATAAAAGTAAAATTATTTTTTCATCTTTTAGTTCATATCCTAATATATTACTTAATGTGCAGCGAGTAATTAAATCAATTTTATTAGCTATATGCTTACTATTTCAAGTGAGTGAATTATATGTCTTTGCATAGTGCATATTGATTACATTCTACAATTATTTTTCGTTTGAAATAAATAATTTAGGTATACTACGAAATGGATAATATAATAAGTACGATCCTGACATGGAGGATTCGTTTAAGAAACCATTAGTGATACTAATTTTGTTTTTGTTTTTTTTTTACGATTATTATGATTCTACAATACATTTTAATTTAATTTAATTTAAATTAAACAGAGTGATTAAATATAATACACATCGAAACATCGAAGTTTAATTTAATATAATGTAGGTACATCGAGTATTGAAACACTTCCGATAGAGATATAACTTTTTATACCTCAGTAAAAATAATAAGAAGAGATTAATTGACGAATTGAAATCGGAAATAAATTCATAAGATTATTAAAAAATATATTATAGTATACGCAAACCAAAATAGATACCAAAACCTAATCTCCTACGGATTGTTATAACTGTACACGAATGTGGTTTTATCGGTATAAATAAACCCTGTTAAGTATTTAAAAGTTATGATTTTCCGTAGCCAATTTTGTGTTGAAAAATAATATGTGTTTGGTCTCGGGAACGTTGGAATATTATTATTACCAAGTCCCAGGAGGGATATAAAGAACATACACATTATACGGCGTTAGCCAAACACTATAATCTATAACATAATGTAAGGTATATGATTTTAAATAATGCTGTGATGTATACAATGTAACATTTATATTATTATTATTCAGTTCGTTAAAAACACTTTCTGTAATCGGTAATCTTACAAATGTCTTTACACAAAATGTAAAACGCCGTCATTCTCAATGTATATACTTTCAATTATTGAATTTTCATTTTTACTGAATTAAAAATAATATTTACTTACGATAAATTAAATAAACGTATCGACGCATATTTCCATCAATAAAAAAATCAACCACAGTTTTTAGGTGTTCAAGTTCTGCCGAAATACTGCGCTTAACTTATCATAAATCTGTAACGTAATACATATTAATCGTAGACATCGTTAGAAACCAAATATCGTACAAAAAAACTGTGCACGAATGCCTCTATTAATGATACATATATAATATTGTATTAATATAATAATCATGTTATTATTGAATATTAATTTTCATATTGATCGCAAAAACGCTTTAACTGCGGTGTTTGAAAATTGAAAATTTTTGAATTGAAAATTAATTAGCTGTACATTTTATCATATTATCATATTGAATATATTTTGTAAAAATGTTAGGCTAAGTGTTTCTTGATAAAATTCAATAACCCAATAAATTGACCGTAATTTATGAACGTGACCGTTATATAATTGTCTCCCGGCGATAAAATCAAATTATTGGCTTAACCGCGCGTTAACAACCGTCTAGAAACTTTGAACAAAACTTTTTATTATGAAATAGCCATAAAATAAATTCATTAAAATCGCTGATTTTCGATGGGTGTCTTCTACTAATGAAATACGTTACAAGCGCGTCTCCAAGTAAACTACACCGTTAGCAGTGTTAGCACGTTACATCTTCATTACTATATTATTATCTTATTATCGATGGCATAATTTACCTACTATATAGTTTAAAAACCCAAACCACTAACCTAACCACAGATTATATATTTTGTCTGGCGAATAATACTGCATGGTAAAAATGAATAAAGCTATAAATATCTTAAAAGTATGCAAATCTATCTTTCTCAAACTCTTGAAGATCGTGTGATGGGATTCGAAAAAAAAACACTCTTCTCCCCGTGAACAACATATTATGAATCTTGTATGTATCATTATTAAACAACGAACGGAATTTCAATCAAAACTTTAAAACTAGAATTAGTTTTTCAAAAATCAACCATTTTTTTTTATATAGAAACAAAAGGTAGTAGTTTAATAATTAATTTTCTGAAAAGAATCACTTTAAATTTACTAAGCATTGCAAAATTAATGTGAAAACAAAAATATTAAGTTTGAAATTCCTTGAATCCTTATTAGATAATACAGTATAAAAGTCTTATTCATCAAACACAGAGTTAACAAACAATTGTATTAAATTAAAGTATAATCCATGAAAACATTAATATTTTTTTTTAATAGTTATAACAAAAATAATACAAATATTATTTAGAAATATCTGCAGTTAGGGATCGTAAATTATCGTCACCACCTATGGCGCGCTGAAAAAGTACAAGATTAGGTTTAAAGAGTAAAATAAAATATATTTAAAAATAAAGTAGGGTCAGGTGGGGTAACAGCGACGCCGTTTTGCAAAATCTCAGTTTAATGGAACATATATCTTATTGTATTCTTACTAGGAACATTGTTTTTTTTCATATATTAATGAACGTATTAGGAATTCAAATTTGTATTCAAAGCAGTGTTTTGATAATTTTTTTGGTTGAAAAATAATTATTGAATGTAAAAAAAAATGTTGCACTTTCCCTGCTACTGGGGTAAGAGCAAAATCGGTAATTTTTATAGAGTTGTATACTAACTATTCCTTAGCCGGAGCAAGTGCCATAAACTAATGAAAATCTGTAAACAAATTCCGTTGAAAGAATTTAATTATTTTAATTTATCTTACAGTGTGGCCAACACAACATTCGATTATTTCTAAACTCCGTAGTTTTCATGAAATAAACTTTAAAATTGAAATATTATATTTTTTATAACCGAATTAGGCACTAGCGCCGTTAGGCTCTTACCCCACCTGACCTTATTTAATTTAGTCATTTCTGCTAAAGCATATGTATAAGCTATACATCATTATTGGTATAATTTTATTTCAAGTTGAAAATTAGCATATATTTAGTCAATAGTTATAGTTATATAAGGATAATATATTATAATAAGTTGAAAATACTTGTTCTGCTTGCTGAGAGGATTAATCTGTGCACAAACCAAAAAACGTCAACACGTCGTATTCAACCACAACAACCTACCTCCTCACTAGCAATCGTATGCACAATTGCACAAAGTAACCTTGTCCTCTCGGTAAACGAAGATACGTACCTATATAATAATATATTACCCTTAAATACTCTTTTTGGTAACCAAAAATGTAGTAATTAGCAACAGTTTTTTTTTTTTTTTTATTCAGACAATATTTTAATTTAGTTTAAAATTTGTATACGAATAACTATTCACCATAATGACATATTCTGTAGTCAGCCACGCGCGTCTTAATATTATGTAATCGTCACCATCACTGTCATTGATCGAGCGCGCGCGTTTGATTCGCAGAGATGAGGGCCAGGATTTGCGGACCGCCTGAGCTGTACGTCAAGGAAGACAGCGAGGTGAACATGCGGTGTGAGCTGAGCCAGGGCCCACATGACCTGGGAACCATATTCTGGTACCTGGGTAACGTGCCCGTGTACACGGACCAGGCAAGTCTGCAGTCAATCCGACAGCCGCGGGTCAGCGTTCACACCGAATGGGTGGATGGACTCAAGAGCACGCTGCACATAGCCCGGGCCAAGCTTGCAGACTCCGGAAACTATACGTGCATGCCCACATTTGGACAATCAGCTACCATAAACGTGCACGTGGTTAACGGTAACTGTCGCATGTGTATATCCGTCATATCCTCTGTCTTCCCCATCCCCCCCTTCTCACCAACAAACGATATCCGTGCAAACGTTCGTTCTGACAAACGGATTTATACGTCTAGGGTGCAGAGGCTAGTGACATAGAGCAACGCGTAGTATTTGAATATACCGGAGCAAATGCCGAATCCAAATTTTAAAAACTATCGTACCTATATACTAATGCATGTACATATAAATTGCGTTCGAATATAGTATTATATAAAATATCATGTTTACGGATATCATTTGTGGTAAGAGGAAGAGGAAATGAATGATTTGAATGATTTAATGCCTAGCTATAAATTCAATATATAGGTGCATTCTAATTAATGTATATATTATAGAAATAAGCATGTTATATTTTTACTTCTCTGCATTAGATGTAAGTAATGTTCACAATTTTTTCGATGCACTTTTTCTCGAAAAGTAACTTCCTCCATCATATGAGTAAACGACCATCCATCACATATAAATATTATAAAAAGTAATATTAGTTATGTATACTATTATATCTACAAACGTCATCTGAAAAAAAATAAAGCAATTACCTTTTTTAATATTTGATTGAAAAATTTTAAATTTAAATAATAGCCATCTATCGTCAACAATATGTTCGTACAAAATAAAATACAATAAAACTACTTTATTTAATCGTTATTTTACCTTTCCCATTAATTAACAACGTTTATGAAACTAAAATTCTGACGTTTTTAATTTTTTATCAACACTTTCCAAAATAATACATTTTTATTCGCCTCGCCAGTCGCCGAATTAAACGATAAAAAACAGTTCATTGGGAAATCAAACATAAATACTTATAAGTTATAACTATTTGAAGTACAACACTATTAAACATACACGTTGTTTCGGGGACAATTCATTTGGGTTAATTTATTAAAAAATATATATACTATCGTTTGGTCGAGTAATAATTTATAATATTAATAACAATAATTGTATATTTTGAATAACTGAATAATTTTAAAAGAGACATCTCGATTATCTGACATTCATGGTTTCCAAATTGTCAATTGATACACTCTAATTCCAAAATTAAGAAACACAACAATATCATGCAATTTATTATTTACCACTAATAAATATTTTAAGTCAAGAGTCTATAAAAAGTTTAAAACACTGCATGCAATATTGAAAATTTAAAAGTATTTATTATTTTAAAAATAAAATGTTTAAAAAGGGTTTATTAAGTGCTTTTAAATTGTACTTAAATAATCGCTATTTCGAAAGTATTTTAGCAGACTTTAAATTCGTATTATTAACACATCACTACGAAATATGCACATTATGACAAACACAAATTATATATTTTCAACATAGTTGTATAGGTCATTGAAATTTAAATTTAAATGTTAATATTTTTTAATATCATACKCTTGAGTATATATCATGCATTTTGTTTTCAATTTTCAAATGCTTTATTTATCTAAAGAGTGCTGAAGCTCGTTCTATAAAAGCATGACTATATACATGCTTAAAAACGATATTATCACGTATGTGTACAAGGCTACAACTTAATAACGAAATAAATTATGCGAAAAAGTTAATAAACATAATATTAATAATAACAATTTAACAAGCATTATAAATCAAAACTTACATGGAGTATAAATTAATATTCAGAAAATATGTGTCCACAAATTTTGTTACCTACATAGACCTATAAACTCTTGGCAGCGCTTAAAGAGAAAGAAGCCGGTCGACGATTTAGAGTGAATAACAAGAGAAATAACGTAGTAAAATACAATGCTCTAATGCCAAATAAAAAATTGTGTTACAATTAAATATCGTCGATCATAATTTATTATATTCTTAATAACGTGATAAATTGTGATTACTGACAACCATAATTTAAGAGGTAATACTAACTTAAATCGTGCTGAATGCTGATTTAAAAAAAAATGGAACAAAAAGTGTAGCATTTCCACAATGATTTACCACTTGATGTTCTTTTCACTCTTAGATATATACTCACCAAGTATTGATGACAGGACGGAGTGGAATGCGCTGTTCATAGTTTATGGGTCTATGATTAGGTGACTGAAAATTTTAATTCGACTATACATATATCTTACGACAACAAATGCTTGCGTATTATATTATTATATTTTTTAACCGTAATATATTCAAACATTGTGTAGGTATAAATATATTGAAATTGTGTTTGCTCAAGCCCCGAAGGCATACTGACTTCGTGTATGTTAATTTGTAATTATATTCGAGTCATTACGACATTCGTCAAATATTTAAATAAGCTCTTATGAGTGTTTTGGTAATTTATTATAGTTTAACCAAGAGAATATCACACTTCGAAAATAAACGTACAATATAATATAGGTAGCTATTCTATAATGATATACAACAAAAGTCAAACTTCACTTCATCACTTGTGTACAAATTATATACAGTGTAGATACCACCTGCAACGACAATACATTTTATAATTTTTGCTGTGGCGCTGACGAAATTTTTTTTTTTTTTTTTATTAGAAATAAGCCTCGGCTGCGGAGGCCATTGGCTGACATAGTTTACATTGTTAGTGATAATTTTTGTATACACTATTTACATTATTTACAAAAACATTACACATATTACACATATTACAACATAMTAGATTAWAGWTTATTAATTAGGTTGGTCTTGATTAAAAAGGACATCATGCGGCTAATGTTGTCTGGGTGGAGGGCTTCCGATATAATATGCTGACGAAATTGTCAAGCAGCACGGATTGTAAATAATAAGCTGTAGGGTAATATTTAAATATTTATACTCCAAATAAATAAGTAATAAAAATCTAATATGACGTGTATGTATGTCAAGAAAGCAGATACCGATAATCGTGCTCATACGTTAATAATCAATATAATATATGAGACATATCTGTCATATTCGGCCATTCTGTGACATAAAGTAATACTAAGAAGACCTAGCTTTCTGTTAAATTCAAGTTATCAATAATAAAATGTCGTATTTTAAAAACTTTTTTATGAAAAAACATAATCATTATTTTTCATGAAATTATGATATAAAGTATTGAATCTATTGATTTTACAATGATGCGCCTTTTTTATTTTGTACATCTAGAGACACAATATTATTTTATAATAGAAAAAATAATTTTTCAACTTGAATAAATTTTCTGCATTTGCAAGATCTTTTCATAAGTCTTTGAAATTTATATTTTGACAAAATTCGTCAAAATTGATAACATTTTTAATAGATTTTTATACGTTCCTCATAAGTTAATATTTTAATAATTATTAATTAAATAAAAATAATTCCTCATAACTTAACCTAACCAAATATTTACATAATATTTAAAAAAAATTTGTCTTTAAAAAGTTTTGACGAAATTAGATATTTTAACACAGAATTACGATTTTAGTTACTTCAATGTAATCCAACAAAATTCTTGAGGCTTTTCAATATAATAATTAGATTAATTTTAAGCTTTGTTACAAAAATACTTCTGCTAAAAATTAAAAAATTTCTCACAGTTTATTGGTATTTTTTTTAAATGTTCTCAAAGACTGATAAATTTTAAAAAATCATCTCTTGTACGTTATAATACAGTCTAAACCAAATTAAGAGATTATAAATATTTCACAGATCTCATTTTACCTCAAAATAATATATAAAAAAACATGTCTTTCTTAAACCAACTCTCGTTCCAATTAGGATCTCATAATAATTTATCTTATCGTTAAAACATAAAACATTTTTGATTATAAAATATAAATATTTCATCCCCCTATTACAATTGGGAAGCGGATAAACCGCATAAAGGCAAAAACGATATCCGAATATAGAATAGAGATGTTTACAACCTTTCCTCACTGGTTATACCATTTAGTTAAGTTCAGAAAAATGGTTTGTGATTTGTAACATTTTATTAATTAAAATTACATTTATAAACCCAGTTCTGTTTATTTGAAGTGGCATTTTCTAACTTCTTATAAAACAATATTTAAATAAAATTTGTTAAAAGTAATTTAATATCTTTATTTTTAATAAATATAAAAATTTAAACAGTACTCGTAAAAAAGAAAAATAATAATAATAATAATAAATAAATAACTGAATAAAAATCCAATTTAAAAACATTAAACGACAAAATAATAAATGCGATGGCCTTAGTCGCTTATTTAGTTTTATTCCTTTAAAAAAAAATTATACCAATTAAAATAATATATGAGCAATTTATTTATTTTAATAAATTTTCCTTAGTCATGTAATACAAATGCATACAATACTAATGTTTATTTATTTTATTTTTCCTTAGATATATTATGATAAAACCAAAAATCGATAAACTTATAATTTTTTATATTGATTCATTGATATTTGAAAAAACGATATTATATTATTACATATAACTCAATAAATTGTTATTCCATGTTAATTTTAACCTTAAAAAAATGTGTATAATAATACATTCGTATATATGTACAATAAAATAGTGAATAACCATTCGTTGATCAAAGATTAAAACTTTCGCATTAATTTACAGCACTATTGCGTACAACTCCGATTCGTTTTATGTTGTTTTAAGAGCTTTATAAATCGCGAGTCATGTGTTATATACGGTTATATATAATACACAGGAGTGCATGTATAGTTTTCTCTGAGGTGTCATATAATCCGATTATCTTGGAAATTCTCAAAATTGCGGCGACGGAGAGAAAACTTACAAAAATGTAGTTTTAAGCAAAGTAGGTTATTGAAAAATAAAAAGTCGATCGCTCAAAAATTTCCAAAAAATAAATAAATACACATCACTGTCTGCAGAGTGTATAATGTTCGGCGATTATGCTTATGCTTTTAAGAAAAGTTGTTCGGTACATCCGTTCTTCTCTTACATTATACAGAATTTACTTTTAGCGCATCAACGCTAAACCATTATGGTAAAAACATAAGTAACTGTAGTAGAAGTGAAAATCATATGTTATA